TCACAGTGTAGGGCCGGGGATTTAGCTCAGAGGTTCCACTGCCTGCCTTGCAAGCGCAAGGACCTGAGTTTGATCCCTGGTACAAAAAAAAAAAAAAAAAAAAAAAAAAAAAAAAAAAAATCACAGTGTTTCTCTTGTGTGACAAAATCAAAGAGTAAACAGACCATAACAGAGGACAGATAATGAGAAGCAGGAAGAACATTATCAAGTGGGAAAGGAAACAAAGGAGGGAAGGGGGTGAAGGGAAGGAAGAGAAAAGGAAAACCTTTTTCTTTTCCAAAGCTGCTTAGCTATTGTAAATTGTGCTAATTTTATAGATATTTAATTTCATACATATTGTGGTTATCTATTCATATTTAAGAAGGACCAGGTAGCTGATATAATCTTCCTCTGATGAAATGTGAGTACATCTACTTTTCAAAAGGTATCTTTTTTTTTTTTTTTTTTTTGGTGAAAAAGGGTCTTTCTTAGGGCCGGGGATTTAGCTCAGTGGCACTGTGCCTGCCTTGTAAGTGCAAGGTTGTGAGTTTGATCCCTGGTGTGTGTGTGTGTGTGTGTGCAGTGTCTGTCTTGAGTACAGAGTTGCTGGCTAGGAGTTCTTTGCATTTAGGTGTGCTGATTGGCAGGCATTATTTCAGAGTAAACTAGTAGGGTTCTCCTTGGTTCCCCAACTAACAGAATAAAAAATAAGGAGAGCTTTAATCTGCAGTTGGAACATTAGAAGCTTTAACATGCTTTAAAAAAAACTTGTAAGTAAATGGTAGGATGCACTTTACATTTGGAAACCAGTAAAGGAACCAACTAACTAGTCAGTTGTTTTGTTTAACAAGCTTCAATGATCCCCATTTCCAGTATTTCTCATCAGACCTGCCAACCCTGACTTTACAAGCTGCTTGGGGATCCTGATAAGCAGACTGAGCACTCTTCTACTGTAGCCCCTACTCAGCCTCACATTCTGGATTGTGGTTTCCTTAGACTGCTTCTGGTCCTGTTTCATCTTCAAGAAATACGCAGTCCACCAAAAAAAAAAAAAGTTTATACATCAGGTAAAGAAAAACTTGTATAAATATTTTAGTACTAAATTTACTGAGATATCATGAGTTCAGTACAAGTTCTTTTGGCCTTAAGTACAGGAGGTGTTCACACTGTTGGCTATTAGCTTCCAGACATTTATTAGTAAGGCAAACTGCTGAAGTGTGTATACATTTTTTTGGTGGACTCTGTATATTACAACCTCTTGCATACTGACTTTAAAAAATCATTATTCTCTATCATTCCACTTACTTTCCTAAGTTTATTCATTTTTAATTTATGTATTTTAACTCTGGAGGGGTTTGAGAAGAATGGGAGATGGTGTTTTATTCATTGTTATTTTTTATCAAATATGACTTCACAAATCCAATCTCATATAAAAATAAACTCTTAAATATAAGGAAAGTATAAATACAGTATCTATTAACTTATTTTTACTCTTATTTTTAAATTTTATTTTAAAGAAATTTTAGTAACTCATTATTATAGCTTTGTTGTTGCTTGTCATTAAGACTTAATTTATGTTACTATCAAAGCTTTTATGAATGTTCTGCTAGAACTGAGAATTGCCATCAGTTAGCAAGCATTCCCACAGGAAAAAGAATTCACCATATGAACTTTTCATGAAGAGACTACATACAAAGGTATAGGCAGGGTTAGGGATCAAACAAGAGAACGATGAGGCATCGAAAACTAGCAACAAGAGGATACCTAGGACCAAGAGAACAAGGGCAGGAACAGAGTACAGCAACTTGAATCACAAATAAAGTACAACAGAAGCTGTATCACAGAGAGATACAGTTACTGTGTTGAAGCAGGCAATAGGAAAGAAATGCCAATTTCCTTTTCTTCTGCCATCCCATCTGCTGGCAATATTTTTCCAACTCAACTATATCCAACCAAGGTTAGTCAGAAAGATAGCTGAAGCCAGGTATAAGCAGGGAAAGCCTATAATTCTAGCAGTCTAGGAGGCTGAGGCAGAAGGAGCACAAGTTCAATTCCATCTTGGGCAACTTAATGATTTACAGAGACCTGTCCTCAAAATTTAAAAAAAGGGGGAGGCCTGGGCCTGGAGATCAATATAAAGGCCTTGAATTCAATATCTAGTAACACATACAGAAAGAAAGAAAGAAAGACAGCCATCCAGCCACCCAAAAGATGTAATTTGTAGGGGCCAGGGAGCACAGAATCAAGAATAGATCCAAGGGATTGAGGATGTAGAACCGATGGAAAATGGCACTAAAACTTAATGCTTTATTAACAGTTTAGTTCAAATACTGAATATCTGAGATTTTACGAAACATAAATAGGTATATATAATGCTGGATATTATGTATAATTATGCTTATTAAAAATATCCACTAAGAGTCCTCATTCTCAATATATTCTGAGGGGAATAAAACCTCGCTGGTTGTGGTAGTGTATACCTGTAATCCCAGCACATAAGAGGCTGAGACTGGAGGATCATCACAAGTTCAAAGCCATCTTAGACTACATAGTGAGGTCAAGGCCAACCTCAACTACAATCAAAGCCAAAATGTAATTTAAGATAAGTTCAAAGGGCATAAAATAAAATCAGAACCAAACTTTGTCTTTTAAACATGATAAACTGCTACTGTAAGTAAAAATCTGTTATATGCTGTAGGAAATTAGGCAGTGGTTACCCTGGGAAGCAGTGACTAGTATGAAGCCCAAGGTGCTCCATGAATGTTGATGATGTTGCTTCTTGATTTATCTGATAGTTACACAGGTGCCCATACTGTGAAAATCCACTGAGTGTTACACCTGTGATCATGATGTTTTGTATAAGTACATCTCAATAAAAACAATAAATTTTAAAAAGACAGCAATCATAAATAAAACTTAAAAAACCCCAACTATGTTAGTGAATTTCTATGCCTTTCTATAGGATACCTAACAGCCAGCAAGGATTTACAGAGATTCCTAAAGCACTGATGTGCACTCAGCAAAAATGAAAGGCACATCTTGGCTTCAGATAATTTGCGATCTACTTAGGAAAAAGAAATATTTAGACAGGAGATGAAGAATATTAACAGGCACCATCTCAGGCCATGAAGAATGTACAGCAAACACAGATCCAATACTGATAGATAATATTCTCATGGGAAGACCTAGATAGAAATACTCTTCTAGAAATCAGACCTCTAGCTCTGTGTAGTTTAACTGATATATAATAGAGATGTAAGGTTTTCACAAAACCTCTGAAAATACAAAAGTAGAATCCATTTTCAAAAGAAAATAAAGACTGCTTGAAGTAAAATAAAAGGGATAGTATTCTCTGGTTCTAGAGAGCTACAGTTAAACCTATAATACACAGTGCACCAAAAGCCACACAAGAAGGTTTCTAAGCCACTTCTCTTTTCTGCCCAAAATTAGTAAGCAGGAAGTCTGCACCTACTGGGAAGGGAAGTAGATGATACAGGGAAGGGTTGAGGTCAGAGATGAAAGCATAAAGATATGAGACACAAGGACTTCAGCAGATTGGAAGATGTCTGTCAGAGAAAAAGAAAGACATATCTGTGGTGATAAGAGCAAAGTGACTCTGCTGCTTGGCAACAGCTCCAGGGAAGCAGCTAAAACCTAAAGAAAAAGTAGCTGTGTGGTGCAACAGGAAGATGGGCCCTGGACGTCTTATCAAAGATTCAGGAGCCTGATATACAGCACAGAAGCAGCAAAGAACTCTAGATCTTAAGAGAACTTTTGGCCACTAATTCCTTGATACCATGCAAAACTTCAGAAGTATGACATGGCTCCAGGCTCAGGGAATCTCGGGAAAGTTAAAAATCCGTCTGGCTTGGTGTATTAAGGCTAAAGTCAGAAATTCAAATAAGTACCAGAAAATAAAAAACCTTACACTTCTTATATGCAGTATCTGAGACTTACTCCAGTCTGAGATTATCCTTTCCTCATGTACAATAATAAAGTATATGAATTCACAGTACATAGTTTATATTTTCATAAAAAGGAATGAGAAATATACTGCTTTTTCATTTATTTGGTTCCATCAGTGAAGTGCTCCATATACATGAGTTTTCTAGATGATTTATATAGTCTATGCTAATAATATAAATTACTGATATATATATACATCAGGGTCTCACTATGTAGTTCAGACTGATCTGGAAGTCACTGGTCTTGAACTCACAGTGATCCTCCTGCCTCAGCCTCCCAAGTGCTGGGATTATAGGCATGCGCCACCACGCCTGGCTTAAATTACTGATCTTGACAGAAGTCTGATCAGACTTATTAAACTGGGAACTATTGTCCTTATCCTAAATTAGTCTCAGACTTGAGTGCTTTTATAGGCTTTGTGGTTTTTCTCTTTTTTCCTCTTAAGGAGCTCTTTTCCCCCTCTCTTGGATGCCTTTATAGTTTGGTAGCACCTGTCTATGTAGATCTCACTGCAGTTATTTTGTCTTCTTTCTTCCTATTCTAATTTTCTGTTTCAAATAAATATTGGGTTAAAAAATTAGAAAAGCAAGCATTTTAGAAATGAGCTGAAATCAAGAGTCAAGATAATGAAGATCCCAGGACTAATGCTTAGGGTTCTGGTTACTCCATAGTTTTTACTTGCTTTCTACACGATTTTACACTTGATCTTAGCCAAAAGGCTGAGAAGCAATCTACAAGGTTTTAGTTATACATGATCTGAACATTTCCCAGCTTGTCTTAAATTCTGAAGCTTCAGAAGTTGCTTCACTGCCTGCCATGGGTGGACAGAGGGAGGCTGTTCTGTTTCAGTTGTTTTCTATACTTTATACTATGATTTTTGTTTTAGATTTTAACAAAAAAATTTACTGCTAAAATATGTATAAAAACCACTCTTCCAGAAATCTGACCTTTAGATCAGTATAGCTGAATTAATATATATCAGAGCTGTGCATTAAAAAAAAAAAACCCTAAAACTCCAAAAGTAGAACCCATTCTCAAAAGGAAATAAAAACTACCTGAAGTAACGGGACAAAATCCTCTTGTTCTACAGAGCTGCAGCCAGGTTTTGCCAGAAGACAGATGAACTTAGAGGCATCATCATGATGGTTATTCAGCAACCTACAAAACAAATAATCGCTTAGGAAGATCTGCTACTGGGAACAAACACAAACTTACAACACTGACAACTGTTAAACTGCAGTTTGATCTGAAGGCCACTTAGATAAAGAATCAAGTGCTATCTTTTATTTTTTTTTGTAGTGCTGGGAATTGACCACAGGATCTTAAGGGCTAGGAAAGCACTGAGCAGCTCCCAGATCAAATGCTCTATTTTTAATGTCCTCTATGCTTTTGATTTTATCACGAGGGTTTTAATAAAAGCTCAATAAGAAATGGTATAGTATTCTTATAAAATGCTTTTGAGGCTGAGATCATAATCAGCTGAACTAATACAGGTGAAATACATATTATTAAATATAGTTGGGGGAGAATGTCCATTTGGTTGACAAGGGATATGTGGAACCAGAACTCCAGAGTTAGGCCCCAGCTAGAAGGGAACACTTCAGATGGATCATAATGCACCATATAAAATTTTGTTTTTCCAGGTTGACAAATATTCAGGGTCAATGTGATGGGGGAGCTTTTGATATCAGACATAATAACACACCTAAAAAATGAGTTCTTAGTCTTCTAAGAGTCCAGAATTCCTTACCTCAAATTATTTAACAGACATTTCTACTTGGGAACTCTGAAAGCAAAAGTAAAATTTTGAAAATCAAAATTGAAATTTTCCTCTCAGAGACAGTCATTTTTCTGGACATCTATTTTTCTAAGAATGGTGGTACCATTCTTAGTTATCTGTGCTTGAAAACTTCAAATCATTTAAATTTTTATTTTTTTTCTTATCCAAGCAGTCTCTAAATTTTCTGGTTTTCCTTCATTAATTTATTGAATGCTGTATATCAGGTATTAAGTCTGGTCTTGGGGATTCTTGGTACACAAATAAAATAAGACAGTTTCATGCTGTGTAAGGGTTTTACAGTGTAGTTATTAATAAAGTTATACTACTGTTGAACAGTCATAACAGAAGTGATGAGCACAGGAGATACAGGAGGCCAGTGAGATTACCTGGAAAGTGAGATAGGAAAAAAGGGTGTTGGGGTTAAAGAGAGAAGTCTGGTGTGAGATGTGTGGAACACACGGGCAATAAAATATAAAGAAGTGATTAGAGAGGGGGACATGCGCAGGTAGGATCAAATTCTTGAGGCCTCTTTTACGTCAGGTCAAGAAACTTGAACTTTTTTTTCACTGAATTTATTGGTACTTTTAAAGTATATAGTACAGTTACATTCACCATTGGGATCTTGTGCCTTTACATGACAGATCTTGGTTCTCATTTTTTCCCCATACTCCTGCCCTCCCTTCATTCCCTCCACCCTCCTTGATTTAGAAAGACTTTGTTTCCATTTTTCCTTTTCTCATATTTTTTCTTGTCCCTTATTGCCTTTCCCCTGCACTTTTAGCCCTTTTCTTCCTATTTCACATTATCAGTTATACAATTAGGATCTTATTTACACTTAGCTTTTCACACCAAAGAAACTATTTGGTATTTATATGTGTATCTTACTTATTTCACTTAAGGGTATGGCCTCAATATACATCCATTTTCCTATGAATGACTCTAGTTTCTCATTTTTTATGGCTGAGTAGTATTCCATTTTATAGAAAAACCACATCTTCTATATCAGTCTCCAACTGATGGGCAATTGGGCTGTTTCCAAATTTTAGCTATTACAAACTGTGCCACTATGGACATGAATGCACATATAACACTGTGGTATGATTCTTTTAATTCTTTTGGAAAGATACCCAGCAGAGGGATGGCTGGGTCAGATGGAACCTCTAGTCCTAGTTCTTTGAGGTATCTCCATATTGATTTCCACAGTGGTTGCACCAGTCTGCAAGCCCACCAACAGTGGAGAAGGGTTCCTTTTTCCCTACAACCCCGCAATAACATTAACAATTAACAATAACATTTATTATTGGTTGATTTCTTGATAGCAGCCATTCTTTGTGGGGTGAAGTGGAATCTCAGTGTTGTTTTCATCTGCATCTCTTGAATGACCAGTGATATTGAACATTTTTTCATATATTTATTTGCTGCTTTTACTTCTTTGTTTGAGAAATGTCTGTTCATTTCAGATGCCCATTTTTGAATCAGGTTTTTATTTTGTGGGGGAGTCTGATTTTTTGAGTTCTTTATATAAGAACTATGAATTTTACCCTACTCCACAGAAAATCTTTTAATTTTTACAGTGACATGATCAGGTATGTTTTTCAGAAATATCAAGCAAGAAACAATGAGAGCCTCAGCATGGATATTACCAGTGGGAAGTAGAAAGGGGGCACATATGGCAGAAATGAAAGGACATGGTAGTTGGCAGAGCTAAGGGATGAGAAGAAGGTAGAATCCATGATAAGCCCCAAGTTTCTAGCGGGGACCTTTAGATGCTTCTAATAAAGGATGAGAGTACTAGAGTCCTGAGGAATTTTTCTTCACAATGTTTTAGACAGTTGTTTCTTCCTTTTTAATTTCCAATGTATCAACAATATCAAGGCCTGATAAATTCATGCTGATACTGCTAGAAGGGAAGAGGGTCCTAAAGGTTTCTGTGTTCATCCAATCTTGTATTAGAGATATCTCACAATTGTAAAACAATCTTCAATATATAATTCTCTTACTCAAAAATGTTCAGTAGCTCTGTCACTTCCATACATAAGCCTACAGTGATGGGCAGGACCTTAAAAGTCCCTTCAAATCTTATGTGTTGAAATATTGGACCCTGATGCAGCAAAGTACAAAGGTGGGGTCTTTGGGAGGTAACTGGATCATAAGGGCTCAGACATCATGAGTAGATTAACCAATTTATGGACTAATAGCTTATTAGGTTTTGGGAAAGGGATCTGTTATTAAAGTGAGCCCTTTCTTTACTTTCTGGCCTCCATAAGTTGAGCAACTTTGCTTTACCACATGTTGCTCTCCATGATATTTTGCCTCAGCATAAGCTCAGAAAGTGATGAGGGCCAAGTAACCATGACCCCCTGAAACTGTATGCCAAAATGCCGAAATAAATCTTTCCTCCATCTTGGTATTCTGTCACAGTGATACAAAGCTAATAAACCTGCAGTGGGAATTTAAGGCCTCTTAAATGAGGAATTTTTCTTCACAGTGTTTTAGACAGCTGTTTCTTCCTTTTTATTTTCCAATGTATCAACAAGTCCAAGGCCTGATAAAGTCATACTGCAACTGCTAGAGGGAAGAGGGTCCTAAAGATTTCTGTGTTCTTCCAATCTTGTATTAGAGACAACTCAAAAGTGTAAAGCAATTAGACTGGAGCTTGCCTAGCTATGTATCTCACTATTTTGCTAAATGAACCTTCTAATTTAGGTAGCTGGCCTGACTTATATAGTTTTGCCATTGTATCATTTTCATGCTGTTCTATTCCCCTATAAAACCCTCCTTCAACTTTGTTGTTTTAAAGCTGTTTATTAAGAAGTAATAACCCACTGCTTTCAAAAAGCTTTCCTGGGCCAATGATTTAGCTCAGTGGTACTGTACCTGTCTCACAAGAGCAAGGTCCTGAGTTTAATCTGTGGTACAAAAAAACAAAACAAAACAAAACAAAACAAAACAAAAAATCCCCACAAAAAACAACAAAAAACTTTCCTACATGAGAAAATGGAAATAAAATGTTTGTAAATGGGGAGGGGAGGAGGGGGCGAAGGGAGGGCAGAGACAAGGGGAAAAAATGAGAACCAAGACCTGTCATGTAAAGGTACAAGGTCCCAATAATGAATGTAACTGTACTGTATACCTAAAATGTATCAATAAACTCAATTAAAAAAAACTTTCCTTGACAACTGAATTCCTCACTGATCTTTGTATAATTATACACACCATATATACCATTTTTCTTTCTATTATCTCTTCAGCACCTAAAGGGCAGGCAAAGTTACAGCTTTTTTTATTCATTGCACAGAGTATGCGACTTATGTGTAGAAATCTCTCGTAACATGTTAGTAATCTAACAGATGTATACTTAACTTGTGATTAGAGCTACAGTAGGTCTTTTTATACTTATTTTCCTTATTATAATTATACTTATACTATTTCCTTATTATACTTATTTATACTATTATTTCCTTATTATAATTCTTCAATATTCAAGGGCCTGAAGTTAAATATACACACATTTTAGGAAAAGATTAGTATGGTACGTGCTAATGAAAATTATCTCAAGTTTACAAAGTGGATAGGAATCCAAAAATTCATTTGGAACCATAAGAGACGTAGAATAGCAAAGGCCATCCTAGGCAACAGAAACATGGCAGCGGGTATAAAAATTCCCAATTTGAAACTATGCTATAAAGCCATTGTGATAAAACAGCATGGTACTGGCAAAGAATCAGACCTGAGGATCAGTGGAACAGACTGGAAGACACAAAAACAACTCCAGATGTACTCAGCTACCTCATCTTTGACAAAGGAGCTGACCGTCCCCACTGGAGGAAAGATACCCTCTTTAATAAATGGTGTTGGAAAAACTGGATCTCAACCTGCCAAAGATTAAAACTAGACCCTTATCTTTCACTATGCACTAAATTAAAATCCAAGTGGATTAAAGATCTAAATATTAAAACAGAAACACTAAACTTTCTGGAAGATAAGTTAGGCAGAACTCTTGAAGACATTGGCATAGGAAAACAATTAATTCTCAGTAGCACGGGAATTAGCAGAAAGAATCAAACACTGGGATCTCATCTTATTAAAAAGCTTCTACACCGCAAAAGAAACCATCAACAGAACTAAGAGACAACCTACAATGTGGGAAAAAATTTTTACCAGCTGCTCCTCAGACAAAGGACTATTATCTAGAATATATAAAGAACTCAAAACAACCAGCACCCCCAAATATAAAGACCCAATTCAAAAATGGGCATCTGAAATGAACAGACATTTCTCAGACAAAGAAGTAAAAGCAGCAAGTAAATATATGATAAAATGTTCCACATCCCTGGTCGTTCGAGAGATGCAGATGAAAACAACACTGAGATTCCAC